CTGAACTTAGATCTCAAATAAGTCTAGGCTTCTGCTGTAGATCTAATGCTTCTTAAACTAGGTACAATGTCTTGAGATACAAAATTTCTAAGCTAGCAAAGAACGATTTCATTGCTTCTATCCCAAGTGCTATGAGTAGGATCAGTATCGGGTGGTAAATGTACTGTGCCATTGATGAAACCCCACTTGTTTTTGGTACGAAGAGCAACTTCCATCAATTCACTCCTCACAAGATAGTTGTAATCGTTGAGCTTGAAAACGATGACTGGAAGAAATGCATTTTCGTTTGGAGCCAAGTACAGTGGGTTGATTTATGGGTCTTTAGATCGATTGGGTTGTGTGTTTGCATTTTTTCTTGATTCAGAAGATTGTGAATCACCATCCACCATTGTTGAAGACGAAAGATGAATTTAGAACAAATTTGAAAGGAAGGATCAGTAGCCAAAACCAGACTCTCATACCATGAGAAAGGTTGAAATCCATAAGGGAATTAGGGTCTCCATGAGAGGTAGAAGAGAAAAGCAAGTCAGAAGTTTGGTGGAATACATCGTGTTGGCTGTGATCCTGTTTTCTCATTCATATATATATGTCCAACTACAACAGGGTAAGAGAAAAAGCTATCTAAAATAAGAAGATTAACTATTCATTGTACACTAACGCTAATAAACTAAATATTGTCAACCAATGATAAGCTGCCAAGTGGCTAATCACAAACTATAATTATTCTATTTTTCTCCTTTACTGGCGTCACATTCACTTGTGGAGTTAAACCATTTAGTTACTACAACGACGTCTTAGTCCTCTTCATCTCTTTCGTCTAGTCTGAGTTAAAGGAAGCCTAGTACTAGTTCTTCAATTCTGCTTGTGTGAAGATCAGCAATGGTGACTTAATTATTCTTCATTGACAAAACTATTGGATGAAGAGTTGGGAATGATTGCTATAATGCATCGTCTATGCAGTAAGAACATAGGGTACGTGAGAGGGAAAGAAGAGGTTGGAAGTACTGTTGAGCCGCAATTAAATTAGTTCATCATCAAGAGGAGTCTTCAAGTAATTACCCATGCCATTATACTTTGAAGCTATTCGACCACATGTTGCCATCCTATGTTATGAAGAAAAAGGTGACCATAGTCGAAGTTACACACAATGGAACCAAGAGCATTGACCATAAGCTGAATTTTGTGAGTGTTGTGACTAAGCTACATATGAGTAATGGCTATTTTAGTACTGTCGTGAGAATTGTCAAAAAAATTGTAGCATATGTTTCATTCTCTTGGGCAGCCTCGGTTGATCGATGTGCCACGGGTGGGGAGCCGAAGTTAGCGACACAATGGTTCGATGAACTCCTTCCCACCAATCTCAAGCCCAATATGTTATCTTTTTTGGACATCTGGACCGTCGAAAGTTATGCTGAGGTATTGAGGGACACAAGTATGTCCGCAATAGGAAAGAATATGTGTCCTTGTTTGTATATTAGTTTCAACCTTGAGGTTAAGGTTGGTCTCAACAGGGGTGGATTGTTGATGGAATGCGTAAGGGCTCAGGGGTAGTTTAGTATTTTATTAGGTTTAATTGAATAGGATTTTGGGTCAGAGTGTATATAATGTAATTTAGTTCTATCTTTATATATATCAATGAAAAATCTATCTAAGTACCGTCGAGATTATCCCTCATCTTTCTAATCTCTTTCAAGAACTCTAATCCTAAATACTAAACCACCCAATTCTGCACAATTCTCCTCTCAACCTATCTAAATATCTTTCTAAACTCTATCTTGTTACATCAATTTGGGTGCCTAAGATCGGTATCTGCAACACTTTAAACCCTCCCTCCCTCCATTTAAATATGGAATTCCGACACAATCCGTGTCTCCCTCCTGCAAGTCTCTTCCTCTTGCGTCGGACTCTCTCTCTCTGTCCCTCTCCCACCCTCCCTATCAATCTCCATCTTCTGAGCTCGGTGAGTCCGTCCCCCCCCCCCCCCCCCCTCTTCCTCCCTCTACCATTTTTGGACTCTATGCTGAAAATAGTAACAGTAGAGAAACTGGGTTGGGGTTATTGTCTTTGGTTTTGGGTGTTTGGTACTGGTTTACATTTTTCCCGTAATGGTACTAGTTATCTTATTGGTAGTGGGACTAGTATATATTTTTAAGGTTTTCTGATACTAGTAGTGGTTACTATGTGTGAGGTGTTTCGCCTAGCCTTGAGCATGGCTGGTTAAAGAGCTCATGAGCTCTACTCGAACTTAGCTCCTTTAGTAGCTCACGAGCTCGACCCATTTATAAAGTTTAAATGGTCTTAAATTAAAATTTGAAATAATTTATAATTTGGATTCCATAATATTTGTATGTCATACATGATACATGTGGTTAATGAAAAAAGAATAAAACTCAAATTTTAATCACTAGTTGATGTCATGTTTATATGCTATGTTGGTGTAACATAATTTAGTTCATAATTTTTAACTAATTCATATCATGTTATTTTATAATAATCTACGCATTCTAAAATACACAATTTCTCTTTCAGATTATAAATGTGACATATTTGGTACGTACTTAAAATCTTAAACCATTGTATACTATGAGATATATAATCAAACAAAACGTATGAATTACTAAAATTCCACATCACTAGCTATAAATATTTATTAGCAAGTAAAACTAGCTCGCTAACCACACTGACACTGCTAAGCAATTTGGTTAGCTCAAAACGAGTCATCTCACTAGTTGAACACAACGAGCCACTAAGTCAAACTAGCTCGCGAGCCTCATGAGTAGACAAAGGATGAGTTAAACCTCGACTCGTTTACTAACGAGCTAAACTACGAACGAGCTTTTCCCGAGTCGAGCGTCGAGCTGCTCGTGAGCATCTTTGCTCATTTGCTGCCCTATTCTTAACCCGCCAATTACAAAAGTGGTAATACTCGCTCCCGACTCAAAACACAACAACACCAAGTTCAGCTCATTGTTTTGTTATTTGGGTGTGGTTTGGATGGAAAACGGGCATAGTTTTAACAAAATCTACACCCAACACTCCAATCACAAAAGAGTGTAAAACTCGTTCCTGACCAAAAACTCGTCAATATCAGGTTCAGACCGCTTTCATCGCGTCGATCGTTTTGCTTTTAGGTCCTATAGGAAAAAGTAGGGCTTAGTTTTTAACAAAAATTTTATCCATCCCTTCAATAAAACAAGCTTGTAAAACTCGTTACTGACTCAAAACTCTTCAACACCGGGTTCAACTCGCTCTCGACCCAAAACTGATCAACACCAGGTTCAACCCGCTTTGATCGGGTCAATTTTTTTTTTTTTTTTTTTTTTTTGCTCAAAGTCGGATGGGAAGCGGGCTAAATTTTTAACAATATCCACATTCGTTCCAACTTGTTATTAGTAAAGTGTGTAAAATCCATCATGAACCAAAACTCGTCAAAACCAGGTTCAGCTCGTTCCCGACCAAGAACTAGTGAATACCAGATATAACCCTCTTTAATTGGGTCAATATGTTTTTCGATTCGTGTCGCATGGAAAAAAAGACTAAATTTTTTTACAAAATTCACACCCAACCTCACTTGTTAATTTCTAAACCGTGTAAAACTCACTCCCAAACCAAAAATTGTCAATACCAAATTCAACCCGCTTTGATCAGGCTGATTGTTTTTTTAAGTGCTGTTGTTGTGGAAAGCGAGTCGAGTTTTAAAAAAATATCCATACCCAACAAAACCCATCAATTACAAAAGAAGGTAAAACTCCCTCCCAATCCAAATCTCATCACCACAAGGTTCAACTCGCTTTGACCTAATCGAATTAGGTTGAATACCCATAGATTTTGGCTCAATTGTCATAAAACAAAAATAATAAAATTAAAGGTTAAATGACACTATATTTTTATTAAACAAGACAATATTTTTACAAGATCACACCCAACCAAACTTGTCAATTACAAAAGTGGATAAAACTCGCTCATGACTTAAAACTCGCCAACACTAGGTTCAAATACACTAAAATTTAAATGACACTAAAATTTTCATTAAGTGGTCTGAATTGTAACAAAATCCACACTGACACAACTCGTTAATTACAAAAGCCCTATAACTCACTCCCGACCCAAAACTCGCCCAGTCAATTGATTTGTTTTTTAGGTGACGGTCGAATGGAAAGCAGACCAAGGTTTTAACCAAATTCATACTATACCCAACCCGCAATTACAAAATTGAGTAAAAGTCACTCGCGCCCAAAATTCATCAACACCACTAAAATTTTGATTAAGCGGACCGAGTTTTCACAAAATCCATGATCGACCCAACCAGTTAATTAAAAAAATGGGTAAAACTCACTCTCGAACCAAAACTTGTCAACACCAGGTTCAACTCGCTTTGATCAGGTCGATTGTTTTGTTTGCAGGTGCTGGTCAGATGGAAATCACACCTAGTTGTTAATAAAATTCACCTATGACCCAACCCGTCAATTACAGAAGCAGGTAAAACTCGCTCTCGATCCAAAACTTATCACCATCGAATTCAACTTGTGTTGTCCGGGTTGAATTATGTTGATTCAACCTACTTTTGACTAGGTTGATTGTTATGTCTTTTGGTGCGGGCCGGGTCAAATGGAAAACGAATCTGAGTTTTTAATAAAATTCACATCTGATCTAACTCGTCAATTGCAAAAGGGGGTAAAATCGGTCACAAACCGAAACTCGTCAACACCGGGTTAAACTCGCGTTGTCCATATCGAAATATATTAAATACACATTAGATTGAATGTCACTTAAAATTGTAGACTTAAATTTTGATTAATTGACAAAATTTTATCAAAAATAATTTAATCACTAAAAATTCGAATAATCTCTACTAACAACACCTCTTTTATATTTATAATAATATTATATTTGATTAACTTATAGAACTAAATTTAGCATACACCAACACACGCCACGTAAGCGAGTTGCCGAAGAGAGCAACATTTTGAACATACAGTGATTTGTGTCATTGTACAGTTTTCTGTTGTTCTTGTTTACTTTGTTCCTGAGTTATATTATTTTCTTTTTTTGGTGTGCTAATATAACATCGATCATGAAGTACGTGAAGGGCAACAGGGAAAACAAGAAAACCATTTACTACCCTGACCGCCGGCAGCACCACCACCCTGATTCCCTTTATTCTCCCCTGATTTTGGCGTCGACGGCTGCGACGACTTACTATTATTGTTATTGACGTTATCTCTATCCGATCTCGGAGTCACGGGTTCTTGTTGAGCCGCTTGAGGTGTCGGCGGTTGTGACTGCGATTGCGTCGACCGGTGTTGTCCATCTCCAGTCAATCTGCAATATATATCAATATTGCAATCACCCGCAGTTAATTAATTACTCACTATTTAAAAACACCTAAAAATCATGTTGTGCAACCACATTGCATGAAACTTTGGACATATGTAACTGAGTACATGATATAATATACATAATACATTCAAAGTTTATACTTCATCAATCCACTTGTATTTAGAGTGTATAGTATTCACTTTATCCATAATCCTGATTTTGGTCCTTGAATGTGATCTCAATCTTCAAATGCAGTAGGATAAAGAAGAAAATGTATGATTTTCGGTAAACGATTAAGTTGTTCTTTGAGTGTATATTAAATCTGTTAGTTACACCTTCTGACTTCACATAATTTCATGTATCAACATTGTAAATAATTATATTTATAAATAAACCATATTTGGACCCACATATGAATAGATTTACGAGTAAAAATGAATGAAATAGTTGTAATTAATTAGGTTGTATTATTTTATCAGACGAGACAAATGTTGAGCATAACAAATTCACATATGATGCTTAAAGCCTATTTTTAGCATAATGAAACTACATCTCAAGGTATAATAAAAGTAGATCAAATAATGATGCGAATTCATTTTAATAGCATAATGAAACTACATCAGTTTAGTCACTAAACATGATTTCACGGACACGGCCAATTAGTTTGATACTTATGGCGAAAAAAAAAATTTGAAAATGTATTAGAGGGCAGGAAACAAAAGGATGAATATTGGAGGGACTCACATTGGGAAGGCGAAAGATTTGACGCTGGCCCCACTGGCAGTGGAGCTCCGGCGAAGGCTGGCCGAGTGGAAAGACGGATCCTTGGCAACTTGGGTCGGATTCTGCTGCTCCACGCCACCGCCACCGCCACCGCCACTCTCATTCTGTTTGATTTCCTGCTGCGTCACACTTGACGGCGTCCCGCCCCCTCCAGTGTCCGGTTTCTTGTCTTTCGACGGAGGCGGAGGCGTCGCCGTTTCAGCGGGCTTGGGGCTGCCACTATTACTACTACTCTTGGCTGGGCTGCTGCTAATGGGTGGTCGGTCCCGCATTGGGCTCGCCATTGGGCTTAAGCCCATGGACATAGCTGCGTCGTAGCCCAACTCGTCCGATTTCCCCAACAAGAAGGCGTGGTCCTTTGTGAAGCTCATGTTTCCCATTTGGATGCTGAACAACGATTCGTTCGACGCCACGCTCCAATCCATCGGCGTCGATGATTTCGTCCTGGAAAACACCTCCGACGGGATCCGATAACAGTCCGGGTCATCGAGTACTTTCTCCGTTGGCGGCGATCCATCGTCCGCCGCCGGGTTGGATTTCGTGTTTTTGGCGCTGGCCGTGCTCTCCACCGGCTCCCCCCACGAAGACTCCGAGGAGCTGGACGGTGTCGTTTTCTCCCTTTTCGTAGCATGTGTATTATGCTGATCAAGATTGTCACCTCCCACAGCGCTGCCACCGGAGGTCGTAGCCGGACCACTATTCTCAGGCTTCTCCCCGACCGTGGCCATTCAATTAAATCAAAACTTTTAATGTTGCATAAATTTATTTTATTTCTGTTCCCTCGAACTTCATCTATCTCGCTTCATCTCCCATGGGGAGCTTTAATTTCCTTCTGTAAATGATGATAATAATAACAATTCTCAATTTTGTGAATATAATCACAACTTCAAAGAATAGCATAGAAATTAGAAAGGATCAAAGCAACTCATACAACATCAACTTCATTTTTATTTTCTCCATCCCAGAAACCCTAACATTCTATCAGGAATAGACCATTCAACACCTAATCACACAATAGTTAATAATCGTATTAAAGATCCGATATCGTGAAATCTAATAACGGATTAATCTCTCGATGCGTTACACGGCAATAACGTTGGCGTAAATAAAAAAATTATATTTTTTCCAAGAAATAATAGTATTTGGAATCAGACAGGATTAAAGAAGAAATTCAACGCAAAATAAGATGAAATAAGATTGATTAAAGACTACACCGGCCGTTTCTTTTGTTAAGAAAATAATTAACAATTTTAATTTGGGAGAATGAACGAAATTACTTACCAGAATGATTTGGTGTGAAAATTGAGCTTGATCTAGAAATTGGCTAGCTACGATAGATTAATTAGAATGATGAGTTATGGGATCTTCTTCCTGAATCCACCTTGCTTGGTCAATGAAAGAAATTAGCAAGGGCAGAGGCAACTTCTTCTAAGAAAATAATGAATCTAGCAAGAAAAGAAGATAGAAAGAAAGGAGAGAAAGAGTTGAGAATGAGATGGAGAGAAATAAATGGCAATGCCTCGTTTAAGGCATGCATTTCTCCCTCTCTTCTTTTTTTTTTTTTTTTGAAGTTAATCTTTCTTTTTCCAAGTAGTAGTTTATAATGCAAAGTAATTTTGTGGAGTGACACTTAAAGACTTACTAGTTTTCGGTGCCCGCGCTCCGCGACGGGATTTGAGACATGTATTTTAAAATATTGCTATTGCATACTGCTTGTGTTCTTTGGTGTATGTTTATGACCTTTTATTTGTTATTATTATACTTTACAACTATAACAATGTTGTTTATAATATGGGAGATTTTTATATTTAAAGATCCATTCCATGATTAGCGTTGGAAAGTATGTTGATTTTGAATAACAAAGAGGTTTTAGTGTTCAGATGTGGTTGTGTACGTGTTTCTTTTTAAGTGCAATCATATTAATAATCAAAAGCTCTTGTGTGTGGCCGTGGACTATTTGTGTGAAATTATGATGGAGATAAAGCCACAACACTGCTTTTGGATGTAAAGCCCATCTACTTGGGCCTTTGATTTAATCTATTCCGGCCCTAATTTAATTGAAATGCTAAAACTCAGTCGTTTTCTGTAGAAACACCTATTGCCCCTTTTTGTCCAAGCTTTTCGATCAACTGCTAAAATTTAAAAACATAAGTGAAGGATCAATTAAGAACAGCAAGAACAGTTCCGCTTGGAGTCCAGAGCAGGTAGAGTACAAATCCGAGCTGGAAGTCTTCAGCGATGAGACAAAATGAGCGCTGGGAAGTCTCCGGTGATGAGGCAATATGTAAGCTTTCATGTGCTCTTCGTTTATTTGGTTATGCAAAACTGCAGTAACTGTTGAATTAGTTTAATAGCCTTTTGAACAATGAAATTTCAACTTTGTGCTTTATTAGATTAGAAGTTTACCTACATATTGGGTTGCGTTGAGTTTTGATCTGTGCTGATATCTTCGAAAGCTTCTGTGTACACAATGTTCCTTGTGTAGTTATCTGGAATTTCATCTGTGTTTGTGATCAGAAAGCGTAGACCATCAGCCGATTTGACCCTTGATACTGCCACATATAATTGTCCATGGCTGAATACTGGATCGGGCAGATACACTCCTACCTTGTCGAGTGTTTGCCCCTGACTTTTGTTTATCGTCATACCATAGCAAAGGCGAACCGGAAACTGTCGTCTCTTTAGAATGAATGGCCATTTTTTTTCTTCTATATTAAGAACAATTCTTGGTATTGCCACCAATTTTGTGTCTAGCGGTCCACCCATAATTGTTCCTTTGATTACATTTTCTCCAAGATATGTAATCATTAGTCTTGTACCATTGCATAGCCCCTTCGATGGACTCAAATTTCTGAGTAACATTACTGGAGCATGAACCTTGAGCTTTATTTCGTGATCCGGTACTCCATTGAATGCAAGTGTGTTGAGAAATTCAGTGGGATAGTTTTCACTGAATGATTGTGGGACCTCAGTGTCCATCTGCATAGAATCAGAACTGTAATAAGTTCGTTCCATCTCTGGCAGCTGCTGCAGCATAAATTCATTGATCTCATTCACCTTTGCATTTGTTGGAGTCACTATTGCCCTGCTTGTGAGGTATGCTGTATTTTTGTATTGTTCAGCAAATGATTCATATATGTCGCAAGTAATAGACTGTATAGGATTTTGCAACGGGGCTACCAAGAACATCTCTGGTATTTTAATCCAATCTGATGGTGTGTTTTGTTTGAAAGATTTTGTTGGAAGCTTCCCATCCCCAAGATTAAGAACCCACTGTCCAAATGTGTAACCACAGTCTATCACAACTTTGTTGGCCACTGATTCATTCAACCTCATATTCCTTGATAGTTTAAGTATTGTAAAAGACGACCACATCATCGATCTTGTCAGAGAACCATCAACTGTTTGTTCCCGCCCTGAATCCGAAATCACAGGCAGTGTTTGTCTAAAATCTCCACCAAAGAGAACCGTTTTTCCTCCAAATAATTTGTATCCTGGTCCAGCTATAGGAACATTCATTATATCACATAGAGTTCTGCTGATTGCTTCGAATGCATTACGATGCGTCATTGGTGCTTCATCCCAAACAATCAATGATGCCTTTTTTATCAACTCTGCTAGATGTGTGCCTTTCTTGATTGAGCATGTTGATGTTGTGTCGACATGGAGTGGTATTTTGAACCTTGAATGTGCTGTTGTACCGTTGGGTAAAAGAGTTGCTGCAATTCCAGACGAAGCAACAACGATTGCAATTTTTGATTCACTCCTTAGCTTAGCAATGATTGCATTGTATAGGAATGTCTTACCTGTACCTCCATGTCCATATAAGAAGAAAGATTTGCCCAGATTATTATTAACCGACAACATGACTGCAGAAAAAGCCCCCAGCTGCTCCTGATTAAGATCCTCAAGCATCGTTTCTGATATTTTTTGCTGCTGGACAGTGTCAAAACTCATATACTCATTTATTAGGGGGTTTGATCCATCATCTGTTGTTGAATCTGTTGGTTTTGGGAGGTTGAAGTGTTCCAACGATGAAGAATATGTTCCCAATAAAGTCTCAATCTGATTTAGCACCCAATTACGCAATGTTTCATCTGATGGCTGGAAATTTGTTGATTGCAGTTGCTTGCGAAGGGAGTACACACGATCCTCGCTCATAAGTTTCCACGAAGCCTCGAATAAAGAAGTGGGATTTGGGATTTCGCAAAACATTAACATCGACACAAAAGTGGTTCTGATTAAGCTGGGCATGCTAGATGCTGAAATCTCCTGGAGTACTTGAATCCACTCTGAAGAATCCGACAGCAGCCCCAACTTTTCACATGCTTTCTCATAACTGGCACACACTTCTCCCCGAACAGTTCTCAAAGCCAAGTAACTCACAGCACCCCGTACTTTTGTCAACATCAGCCTCAAGAAGAAGACATCATTGCTGCCGGGAGGTACGTATGCGATTCTTCCAATAGCAAAACCTCTTTTTCTCGGAGTCCATTCGTTGTAATCTTCATTCCATGTATATGCATTGGGTATTTGAGCATAAGTAAGATTTCTTGCTTCGGGATCTTTTTGATTAAGTAAGAACCAAGATGTAAGGTGAGTTTTACCGGCCTTTGGATTTTGCAGCACCTTCTGGATATTGGATTGCTTCCTATATGGAACCTTTTGCTGACCTGGTAGATGCACATCTAATCTCACAACTGCTGGTTCCCTATGGTGTATTGGATATTCATTAATCCTCCATATAGCTTCATAGGAAGATAATGACCTGCAATCAATAAATTCTTGTATCTCATCTTTGTTTTTTTTGGAACCTTCAGTTGGAACTTGTGACGAAGTTGCTGTTTCCTCAGCGATAATCATGGATCTGTCTGGTCCCTTTGTTATGTATTTAAACAAATATTTGACCAGTCCTCCTTTGTGACATATCTCAATATTAATATGTGCCTGAGCTCTGACCAAGAAGTTCCTGTTGTATGGAACCACATGTCGGTTGTCTAAGACTGTGCTGCCTTTCTGAACTTGAATTCCAGAATTTCGACGTCGATATATTACATTTCCAAATCTGTCAAAAGTTGTTTCTGAGTTGAACTCTTTTGGGTAAAACTTTGAACATTTTCCATCTTTCATGCAAGGTGCGTTTGGGTTGGCTTCTCCACATGGTCCGTGAAGCATGAATTTGATTACTGTTTCATAGCCAACTGGATCAACATCAGGGTTAGGGATTTCTGCAGAAATTACCTCATCAATATCACTAACAGTCTTGGGCTTATCTTCCTCAGCAAGCCATATCAACATGTGGACATGAGGTAGACCTCTCTTTTGGAATTCCACAGTGTATATGACTACAGTTGAGTAACATGGAACTGAGTTAGGGGATGAAGATCAAAATAAATGAACCCATGCATGAATATTAATATTTTGAATTCTGATTTTCCAAACACTGAATCAATAAATAACATACTTGCAATTGTTTTGCCGAAATAGGATTCCCGTCGTATCTCTTCGATGAGTATTGCAAGTTTCATATGGAAAACACGACAAACAATCATAGGCTTGAATTCACTATTTGGGCCAACAATATCAGCAAAGGCTTCTGTTATCTCTTCCCATAAAGCATTGCAGGTAAAGGTAATGAATAAGTCGGGATTACCATAGTATTGACACGTTGCCATTGCATCATGATATAATTGTTGCATATACCTAGGACCTCCGGTGTATGAAGAAGGTATTATAATACGTCCAATTTTATCCCCATCCATGTCTCCTCTAGCAAATGCATCTTCCAAACCTTGATATACTTCAGACCTTAGTTCTTTTTGATGAGTCCTTAAAAAGGCTAGTCGGTTGAGTTCAATCGTTGAGAATGCATCGACACAGTAATGCTGAAGTGCTTTTCCAGCCTTAACCAATGTGTAACCCTCATTTGATCGATACTGAAGTCTGTATGCATAGTATTCTCTTTGTGTAACAAATTTCCTGCGCATTGTTGGTGGACAACATAAACTGTTATAAGGGATCAAGGGGTGATACCCGTCCTCCCCGTATGGGAACAACAATGGAAAATGTAGAGCCTCAAATTTAGGATTAAGACTTGAGATGCGTTTAAGTCCCTGATCCCTGTGATTGACAATGATGTCCCTATCTTTGATGTCAGGTACAAAGTCTCCGGGAATCAAAGCAACAATGTCGGTGCTTGTTGGGAGATCATACTGACGATTTCTGCTCTCAATTCCAAAAATCCGAAGTCGTAAGTTTGCTGTGGTGCTCTGCTGCAGCTCCTGTCGTATTCTCCTAAAAGTCTGGACCAATTCGTTAGTCTCATCAAGCATCCTAAGCAAAGAAGTGAGAAGTTCAGGCAGCAAGACAGAATCTCGAGAAGCAAAATTCGATAATCTGTTGTCGATCTCGTTCTCAGGCTCAAAGATGTATAATTGAGCAAATTTGGGTTTCTCTCCATCGATAGGTAGGAGAGAACCAATCCTGTGATAGTTTTCCCCGCATATCACCATAGAATATGGCCCTCTACTTGATAAGGACCGAGGATCTAGCTTTGCTCCAAAGGATGTAAAACATAAAGCTCCATTGTATGGCCTGATGTGCTCCCTAAAATGTTTGGACAACGGGCCACCATTGAGATCCAGCAACTGAGCAAGGAGTGGTGGTGGTTGTTTGAGAAGAGGGAGATTGACCCTTCCTTTTTGGCAGCATAAACTGTAAACAGGATTCATTGTTTTTCGATTGCGATCCAATCGTTCTTGGTACCAAAACATTGCTCCACAGTGCTGACAACAACATTCTGGTTTCCCCACATTTAGAATGTCATTGTATATTGCCTTCCTTGCAGTTGGTACCTTCCTTGACTGATGTATACTTGTGCTTGCTGAAGGATGAGGACGGGCCGCATCTTCACAGGTTGAAGTGGTATAAGATGCTTGGTATGGATCTGGAGACACATGATTGTTGCTGCTGCCTCCTTGGGAATATGTTGCTTGACCAGAGAGAATAAGCGGGAGCTGGCGCGCTCTTTTGTTTACTCTAACATTGTCCAGTTCAATTGGCTCAAATGAAGACACTGTATCAGTATATTTTTCAGCATCATCTGGAACTCTTCCTCTTTTTTGTCTCAAGGATTTATGGGTTGCTGGTTTTTTTCTTGGTGGCATTCTGTACTTTTGGAGCTGAATAAGATGAGAAGTCTATTTAGAAAAAGGAAAAGGCAGAAGCAGGAACAATGCATGTACAACACCTGAACTATTAATTATTAGAAGTATGATCATTGAATGCAGATTCCATGAGAATGGATCTTTTTAGACATGCACAGGCAAACATTAACTCACCTGGTTTGGCAGTTGGAGTGGTTAAGACTTTAAGTTAGCTTTGTTGATGAGAACAAATTCCCTGGAGCGATCTAATCTTTCTGAGGATTGCTGCTGTAACAATTGCTGCATTCATATCTCCTTAATAACAGAAGCTTGCTGCATTAATGGCTGCTGGTAAAATAACACACTAAAATGAGGTAGGAGATAAGTGTTTGGTGGCAAATAAGCAAGAAGTTGATTTGAAAGGGCATTAATTGCTCATTGATGCTCATCCACATAAACCCCCTTGAGTTTATCACCGTCGTTTTTCAATTGTTAACCATCATTGCTGTACTATTCAACAAAGATATTTTAGTAAATGTGAAAATTACTTAGTAAATTTAACAACAATTGCCATGAAAGATGCAGAGACATGGTATTGGAGGGCCAACATTTTCATGCTCAATTCAATCAATTTGTTTGTTAAGAGAGCCTAATCATAGGAATCCAACTACCAAATTGTATAAATCTTCCATGATAGAGCAACTAATCAAGTTCGCAATAACTTTCCAGTCCCTGTGATATGATGTTTCCAGCACATCATTGCTCAGTGAACTGTACTCTACCCCAAAAACAGCTCAAAATGGAGATCATTGCACAAACTAACTTCATATAAATACTGCAGATCAGAGTTGTCTATCTCTATCTCTTACCATACATAACACCACAAACTACATTTTTGTACATAATATATGGATCCTGATTACATACACCACCTGGGTGACAGTGATCCACAACACAAAACAATTCTCATAACATTTGCCAATACATAATAGATTTTGAGAAGCAAACCAACCGTTCTTATCAAAATAACCATAAATACATCATACTTGAAACTAATAGAGTTCTAAATGGTGTCACTGGTACTGAACACCACCCGACAAAATGACACCTTGCTGAGCAAAGATCCTGGTGAGCAAAGATCCATAGACACACACCTGCAAACAAAAACACAAAAATAAGAAACCCGCGGTAAGCAAAATGTGATCCATAACTCTAAGAATTGAAAGATCACCACCTAGTGAACAAATGATCTTCCATTCTAAAAATCAAAACGTAACTTTGTTTTGAAAATAAGATACCTTAGGCCTCATAAAGACGACGCTTTGCAGAAGGACGCTTAACAGAACCCTCAGCTGACTTCGAGCCCCCAATTGTAAATGGAACAGAAGCATTTGCAACACCAGTGGCTTGCTTTGCTTCTGAAGCATCCAACTTCTCGACTTTCACCTTGGCCAATGGAGATACCAGCCTGTCACATTGCAAAGGAAATAACGAAATAAGCAAATAACAAAACGTTAAATGTATTAAACCAAAGAAAGCTTATTTTATTTGGCAAAACTCACAAAGAAGCAGAAGGGGAAGTAAATGGTGGGGTCGATGATTCCACAGCAGCAACCTTACTCTGAGGCGTCTCTAACTTCTCAACAGCAGAACCCTGTGCACTTAATGATTCATGACCAGAATGATCCTCTGATCCCTGAACAACCTTTGGTACTGGTGGTGAGGGAGTCACTGGCATCTTTGACACATTAATAATGCCAACAGGTACTGGTTGCACTTGGCAAACTTGATCAGCAATGATTGACTTTTCACCAGTTGAATCAGATATCCCAGCAGGACCTTTATGTGGTTGACCATCATTGATTGCTGCATTGAAGACTTTCTCAGTAACATTCTCGGAAAGAGGCTGACTCTCAGGACCATTGACTTTCTCATTGATCAACAATGGTCCCCTTACTTGACTGCAAGAGATCACACAACACTCAGACACTGCATTTTATCTCATACACACACCACAAAAGTAACCAATCAATGGAACCACAATCTCAAAAATAAGACCGTGTAAAACTGTACCTAAGAAGCTTTGGAGCCTGATGGCCAATTTGGAAAGTAGGGCTGAAATTTTCATTCGACAATGAACCTGAGACCTTTTCTTTGCCCTTTGAAGAACTTATTATCATAAACAAATAAAAAAAGGAAACAAAAGGTAAGCATGGCATCTTAAACAAAAAGACCAGGCAATAACACAAAGTAACCATCGAAGGAAAAAACAAACCAAAAAAGCTAAACCTTGATGGTACTGATCCTGGCATAGGTGCAGGCAAAGACATCAACATTGGTGATGCTGAACAGGCGAGCTGATTATCATTGTTCTGAGATGGCAAAGAAGCCAAAGGAGTGGCAACACTGTCCATAATTGCAAGGGGAACATGTGCTGGTATTACATGGGGAACAGGTGCTTGTATTGCATTAGCTTGTTGAGGAACCACACAAAGGACCCTGAACTGTCCAGTTGACATGCCATTGAAACCCACCATTGGCAACTTAACTTCGAACTTTGCAAACTGACCAAATAATGCACTCAATTCTGGAGGCAGCTCGCCAGGCCTGTGCGGGTATCTCTGGGCCAACAGCTGAGCAGAGGTGAAGACTAAGTTGTTGCCACATGAACCAAAAACAATGAAAGGGGCTTCACCAGTCAAATCTCTCAGTATGAGCTGGATTTTATACCTGCACAAGGAGATGAAAATGAAAACACAGCAACTTCAGTAACAACATACATAACACAACAACAACAAATCACTACACTGAATAAGCACAAAAAACAACTAATCCAATACCCAATTGTGACTTGATCCTCAGAAATCTGCCAATGTTCCCGACACCAGTACCCATTCCCCCTCGGTGAGCAACTCTTCCTGCACATATTGCAAGATGTGTAGTACCATGGACTCCTAGACTCAACCGACTTGATTATACCACTACAGAAATACTTTGCATCCTACATTGAAGGCATCCACAGAAAAGCAAAGTAAGGAACATGCAAACCTAATGGGAAAACAAAGAAACAAATAAAGGGCAAAATAATCATCACAAACCACAGAACCACCATTACGATACAGGGTGACCAACTCATCAATTGTCTTGGCCCTATTGTCGCCATCAGCAACAGCAGCTTCCGGTGTGCCAAACTGAATGGCCAAATCAGCAACGGGATCCCTTGTTCCAGCAAACCTAACACCAAACAGTGAACCAAAAGACAATATGAAAAATGTACAATGAAAGGGACAATTTTATGAAACCATAAACAAAGATAGATCAACAAAAACATACAAAGCTGTCAGATGGTATGCCTCTGGTATGCGAGGGTTCACTGATATGCGAGTCCCTGAAGAACTGGAACAGGTGTATACACCCTCTGCCAGAGAACAAATATAATTTTTCATAGATTAAATCAGAACCCAAAAGCAAATAATGAAGACCTCTCCAAACCACGAAAAGGCAAGAAGGAAATGTCACCTATCACCCGGCCAACCATAAGTCCTCCAACTGCAATGATCACTGGCTCAATAGAGTCTGCCTGAATCAAAGCAGTGCGGTCCAGGAGGCCAGCGAGCTCATTCCACAGAGTTATGGAGACCCTTCGATGCCTGAGATAAAAGCACAACACAGAACTGAAGTACCACCAAGAATAAAATACAAAGAGTAAAGTAATAGAAGTAAAAGAATGGCATAACTGGCAAGCAAAACACGCACTCTCCATTTTCGAGCAGCAGGACTTGTTTTGGTGTGGATCCATTAGTGGTAAGCTTGTGATCAATTCCACTGATAGAATGAAGACGGCCAATGACATCTGAAACAAATGCAGAGGAATGGTTTTTCTCAACAAAACATAGGCATGGGCAGCTACCACCACCAAAATATCTAAAACAAAAACATCGTACAACAAACCTGAGAGAATACGATGATCCCCACTGCGTTTGGGCAGATCACAGTACTGGAAGATCTCAAATGAATCGATGGGAAAATCTGCTGCAGGGAGAGTGCATTGTTGGAAGTCGTTGACCTTGTTATACCCATAACCAGATCAAAGGAGCAAGCACGATATAGGTTCTTTGCTGAGCTCAAGTCGAACCCTTTGATTATGTAAATGAAACCAACACCAAGCTGCTGCTTAATATCACTTGCCATTGCAGGATCAGCTAAAGCTTGTATAAGCATACCCTGTAAAAGGAAGGCATACGAATATCAAACGACCCACAAAACTGTAAAAAAAGGGACTCTCCAATTCAACCAGAGGCACAAGAATATCCAATCTACAGGCCAACTGAAAGAAGAGGACCATACCGCCTGATCGACCCACAGGCAACAGTGATGATAGACAACAGAACTGGATGGCGGCTTAGCCAACCACAAGTGGAGAAGACGCAAACGAAGAGTGATATCCCTGCTAGCACCCATAACATTACACAGCAAGGTTGCATCCATGTCGCTCAAAAATCAGTCCAGAGAAATTTTGTGAAACAAAGAACTCACAAAGAACTGCAAGAGATAGATGAAAAAAGCAGAATAGGGACCAAGAAAAGAAGTGAAGAAGAAAGAGGATATATGAAAGAGATAAGGAAGCAAGTAGAGAAAGAGGGAGAGAGCAGAGATGATTGACCCAGAAGACTTGATACCCTCTCTGCCTAGACGAAAAGACAGCAAGGAATGGCAGCTTTCTCCCTTCACCGAACTGCACGATTAGTAGAGCCATCGGAAGCCGCGCCCGGCAGAAAGTTCATGTGGTGGAACAACAGCCACGATGGGAAAACTCTCATTCTTTGTACCCAAAAAAAAAACTTTCCTTCTCTCGTTTTATTTCTACGGTGGGAAAAGACCTCACCTGACACAGGCAACCTCAAATATCCAACCCAACCGCCAATGTATCGCAAAAAGCAAAATGAGTTCGGTTGGGAAACAAATATTTCCACATGACCAACGCGATCAAAGGCGACCAGGAAAAGATAAAATCTCCATGCTCCCAACGCGACAAAAAAGTGGCCAGCAAAGAGGTTTTTCGTCCAGCCCAAATTCAACCAATAGTCGGAAACAAACCACACCATTGAAAACTAAGTAGAGAACACAAAAGGCCAGCTGCACCCGAGCACACTCCAGGCTGTAACAGTAAACATGAGTCTAAAGGTACAGTAAAAGCAGTCTGGTGGAATAGTAAATGAGATGTTGGGGGTTTTATTTCTTTCAATTTTCCTAAACACTATACATAAGATTTCCCATGTGCCTGATTAAATATAAAAATTTATACTTCATGTTCCACTTGCAATAATTAGTGACAAAATAATAACGAATGGAATCAGAATTTTTTTGTTGATCCAGCCAAAAAACACGTTATATTTTATTTGTTTATAGTTTATAAAACTATGATCAATACTATTCTTTTTTCTTTTTTATTTTATTTTATTTTATTTTAGAGCTTTACACTCAGCCGTAAAGTACAACCACATTCAAAGTATAATAGCGCAAAACACCGATCACTATACATCTAGACTGTTTTTACTATTCACACAGACACAATTTGCTATTCATTTGGACTTAGTTTTACTATTCATCTGACAATTTACTATTTGGAGCTAGAGAAGCTGTGTGTGGCTGGCTGACAATTTCTCTGTCTCCCTATGCTGGTCATAGAGACCCTTGAAGAGATTGTGGGCCATTCATGGAAACAATGGTGGGTTGCTTGAGGGGATTGGAGGAAGCTGAGAGAAAATGAAGTAGCTGCAAATTGAAGTTCAGTTCTCTTCGCGTTGGTCACAGGGAAACTTTCCTCTGTCAGTTACTTTCTCAGTGATTTGATGGTGAGTGAGAGACTTTGCTGCAGACTGGGGGAGTACGGAGGGTTGCTGATGGGTCCAGTTGTTGATTTATTGCTTTCATTGGAGATATTGGGAGAGGAAAGAAGGGTTGCCAATGGAGACAAAATGTGTTCCATTGTTTGTTTTTTATTTTTGTCTTGCCTCTTCGGATTTCTGAAGGGGTTTTTGGGAGGCTGTGCTCCTCAGAGAGAAGAAGCAAGGGAAGAGATTTTCCCAGTGCTTTAGGTGACGGGAAGTTTGTTTGGCAGATGAAGAGCCACGTACCCTTTATTTTGGCCATTCATTTGATCTACCATATCTGCTCTCTTTCTTTTCAATTCCATTTTTTGATAAAAAGAGAGATTAGACGAAAAAGTTAGGAGTTCATTAGTTCTCTCATTGTTTAGGTTGCCCAATACTTTCCTCTCTCCACTCTCCCCTCTCCCCTCTCCTTCTCAAACTTCTCTCTGCTTTGTTTCTCACATCTGCTCTCTGGAAATCAGTGGCTTAGAGCAATCAAATGGAGAAGGAAAATCTGAGAGGACAAACGAGGAATCCAAGGAGACCCAGATCCGCAAGGTATGTTTTTATCTATTTTGGTGATTTTTTTTTTCTCAATACTTAGATGAAGCCAACAATCTCTAGATATATGGTTTGGATTGTAGATCCGCTGGAGAGGACACACAGAGGGGCAAAGAGATCGATCGATGGGAAGTTGATTGTTAATCCTGATGGTTTAAGGTGAGAATATGATGGTTTTGCTTCGACTCTGTCGTCTTCTATCTTTAGTTGCATGCTCTTTCAACACCATTCTTCGATTTTTCTTCCCCTGTTCATCTTCACCCTCACGGTTGTACCTTTAATGATCCTGGCAGTTTAGATGCTCGGACAATTGATTTTCTGGAGGAGATTAATGATATATCGACCACCTTCCAAGCTCATATGAGATCTGATTCTCGGTTTCTATCGGTTTCCCTTATCTTTTTTTCAGAAACCAGCGGAACTCAGAACAAGTAAATGTCTGCTTTGTGTGCTCTCGAAAGGATTATGAGTCCCAGATTTGCTGGTGTTTGTTGTCAGCTGATTTCTCCTCTCTATATCCAGTCGATTTGTTCTCTCTGTCTCTCCCTCATTTTAAGTTTGTTTCATCGCTTTTGAATAAAATTTTGTCAACGAGTTTACTATTAAAGACAACTTCAATTTTTAGGGGAAAACCACCAAGGCCGTTGGTTACCTGGATTGCAATTCGTGATTCGCTGGTCGACGTTATCGCAATGGTGAAAGCAGCTTGGGTAGGTCCAATATATCTACGTTCATGGTTAATTTACTCTTTTATTTTTCTTATATTTTGCGCTTGAATTGATCATATATTCTTCTACTAGAAACGGGTGTTGAAGATGCCATCCATCATCCATGATTACATGGAGTAGAAATCTTTGAAGCCTTTTTCCAAACTTACACAGATTCCGCATGTGTTTTGTTTCCAAATCCTAATAATTTTATGTTTTGTACTTTTATAAACTAAACCCAGATCTTAGAAAATTGTAGGAATTGATTGGATCACAGCATATATGATTTAGGGAAAGCTTGCAGTGATTATTAGTCTAATCCATTCTAGAGGAAACTGAATGTTAATTCTCATCTTATTTTATGCCTTAGACCTTAGTGTTGGTAGTCTCCTCTTAATCATTGTATTCGTGCTTTGCTGTGCAAAATGAAAAAGGTTTGTAACAAAATTGGTCTATGATCGGTCTTCATAACCTTGGAAGTCCAGTGTTTTGAGGCCTGTTCATTCCTTCTCCACAATGGTGGATTCCTGAGCATCCCACCATGAAATTTTTTATTAATGATTTTTTTCCAGTTTCTGTGGCGTAATGATGTTCAACATCAAGTTAGATATGATGTGATGTCTCTAAATGGAGACATTACAGTAGGGTACATGCTTGGTTTGGGCGCCCCAAAGGTTTAGATCTTATGGCTTATTATATTTCTGACTCTGTTTCATTCTGTTGCCACATATGCAGACTGCAGTTATTGTTGGATGATGGATTTTGCCTCTGAGGGAACCTTCTGCTGTAATGTGTGATGATCTGTTGATGTTTCCTTCTTTTTTCATGGTCAACGAGTTTGTTTTGGCATTTACGTAAACTATTTCTACCATTTTTGTTTCAGCCTATTACGAAGAGCAAATGTGGCCACCTGATGGTTCAATCGTAAATCGGAACTTCCAAAAGATCACTTAGTGATGATGTTAGCATATTAGTTAGTCACCTAATTTAGGACATGTAAACTCATGGGTGTTCTGTATTATTTCCTATTATGTTAAACCTTGATATAATGTTAACCCATGGAGTGTAATGCTGCTATCTAATGAAAGATGTCCCAAAATTTGATTCAACGGCTCAATACTGTTTGTTTATATGTTTTCAACAAAACTAGTTCATTTGTTTTTTCCAAAAAAAAAACTTAAATATAGCAAATATCTCGCGGCAGAGCGCGAGCCAGGATACTAGTGTGTTTTATGATGGAATGAAGTTATATTTCTTTTAACATTCCTCCTAGACACAACACACATCATCCAGAAAATGTCTTCCCCCAACACAATCAATTTGTCTTGGGTCTTCATCCTGGCATTTATCTCTAGTCTTAAGATAAACATGTGACGAGTTATAACTTCATTGCTCCATACTAGTTCATATCGCTCTACTATACTCTCATTAGTCGATATGATTCCTAGACTGTCATTACATAAAATCCTGTCATCTGAAGCGCAGCCCACTTGATCCCTTCCCGAGATAAAGGTTTTGGCGTCTTCCCTACATTTTAAAATGGGTTTCCATATCCACCTAGTTGCACCCAGCGAGCAACAATGCAAGAGGTTATAGAATTAAGGCTATGATAGCCGTTATACTTCACAACCAACGATGGGAGAATGAAGTACAGCTTCACATTATGGCGTGCATCCATGCGATCATGGAGAAGATGAACATTCCAATCAAAGATGTACTGGCCACATTCAACCGCTCCTCACCTTCCACACTTTCACACGATGAAGAAGAAGGAAACTCCGAGCAGGAATAAGTTCTAGGAATCCAGGGCCTAAGTTCTATCTTTTCTTTTTCTTTGCTTTTCTTTATTTAAATTTAAACAATGTTTAATTGTTGCTTTATTTTCATTTTACCATTCGTACCTTAAATATTCTATTGCTAGTGGTAGTGGTAGTGGTAGTGGTAGTAGTCGTAGTAGTAGTTGTAGTACTTATTATATATATTTATCGTACCTAAAACTCTTATTCGTATTCCTCTCTATCTTATGCACTTTATCATTGTGAAAACCATCACGAAGACAAAGAATACACTTGTGAACCTTCACCAACCCACAACCCGACCTATGGTAACATTCACGTTCTTTTCTTGGCGAACTCCCACATTGAGGAAAAATGTGTTGCTCAAGTGTGGGGGATGTTTGTGCATGCTTGAATGTATCATGATTGGTGCAACCATTTATTGCTAGTATCCTCCTGTTCGTGAATGTAAGACGTTGATGAATGCCTATGGGAGTGTATGCTAGTGATCATGCCTTTGTTGTGATGATGAATGGTGAGATTTTAATGTTTTTCGAACCTTGAATGCACACCCAAATTTTTTTGAATTTGAGGGTTCCAAAACACCTTGTCCTTGCAATTACGTACTCGATGTGCTTTAATTGGAATAGATTGATCGATGTGTTGTGCATCTTAGGTGGTAGTTGCATGATTTGAGTATCGGTACCTGAGGGATTTTACTACTTTCCTCTTGTAGTGCGAGTCAATAGTGTTTGCTACTTAGGAAGGCATTGTGTGCAGGATTCTCTCCTTTTATGTGAATTAGGAACTTTTTCAACCGGGAAAAGAATTGAGATCAAGCGTCAAAGGATTGTTCTCTTGGCTCGGAGTGCCCGCCGAGGATGTGTTTGGGGTTCGGATAGCTTTATTGTGTCCCGATCATCTCTTACTACCTACCATCCCCTAAACACCTCTCCTCCTCACGGAATCGTATGATAAGGACCAAAGGTACCTTTTAGTGATTCATGAGACCTCATATCTCTCGTTTGTACCCAACATGTGTGGCAACCCAATGTGGAGTGCGGGCTGGGACGTTGTGCTCGGGCTAAGACGAATCCGAGCATCAATTTCCCCACATGTGACCTTGAAAGGGAAGGCTATGATTCATCCGCTCTTGGTCATGAAGGAGAGATGCTATTATGCAATGAAATAAATTGAAAGAGTACGGTGCAATGGGCATGAACGAAGAAAATTGAGACCGAAAAATGAAAAATCCTACACCAAAAGACAGAATAAAAGCATCGCTTATAGTTTTATTAGTCGTTTGGTGTCGGAGAATCCCCTAGAGCACATTTTGAATGATCGGCCTAAGGTAATAGATATGGTCCTCACACTAGAGTTTGTGCTTGCACGGTAGGAAGGTAGTAACATTCATTCATCCCTGTATACTCTTATCTATGCAACGAAGAACTAGCAGGCATGCCTCATTGGTTCATCTATCATATTGCATTAGGTTTGAGTAGGTTTGCTTGGGTACAAGCAAACGCCTAAGTGTGTGGGAGTTTGATAACACCAAAATTGGGTGTTATTTACACTCTATCGTTGGGTATGTTTTATGCCAATTCATGTGCTTAAGCATTTAAACATTGTCAAATGCATTCCTATTTTGTTCCTATTTGATTTGATGGGGTGTATTAGTCAATATGTGCAAATTAGGTACAAAACAAGGTCACAGGTGTAGAAAAAGAGGCAAGGATCAAAGATCGTGGCCTAGAAGCCAAAGATCACGGTGAGGATATTGAGTTGTGAAGACTCGATGAAGATCGTGACCTAGAAGACAAAGATCGCAACCGCGATCTTGAGGGCCTAGGGCGCGAACTTTGTGTGGAAGGAGCCTTGAAGAAACGTAGAGTTTCCCCAGTCGCATCAAGACAAACTTTCACTTTTCCCGCGAGGAAGATCGTGGTCACGACTCTTGGATCGCGACCTCGAAGTCAGCCCGCGATTTTCCCCCTTTAGAAGGCCATGACGACGTTGTCTTGATATCGTGGCCTATCCTCAGAAGACCCCCATCTCGATCTCCTAGCCTCAAGCCGCGAACTTCCCCTAGTCCAGAATGCATATAAATAGAAGACCCATTTACCCATTTCAAGAGAGCTGATTTTGGGTGAAATATCTTGTTCTAGAGAGAGAAGAGAGAGAAGCTGAAGGAAGGAGAAGCAAAGGAAAAGAAGGAGGAGCTAGGAGAAAGGAACAAGGAGGATCTTCCCCAACTTCAAGTCTTCTTCTATTTCTACCATGTATCTTCTTTCCTCCTTTATGGGGTAGTCCTCTAAGTTAGTAGGGATTCTAAACCCCAAACCCTAGTTTTAGGGTTTATTATGTATGTACGGATATTTTAGGGTTTGAATGAATGAATGTGTTTGTCTAGTAGATTCTTAATATCACTCTTTCGTAAATGATGACGTTTGGGCAACTGGCCCCAATTTCCATCTTAGCCTACTTTATGCTACCGTGCTGGGTACAGAGTTCTAGCGTTAGGCGGAAATGCGCCATCTGGCGAGTTCACGTTAGATGAGTTAATGGGGGCCAATAGTGGTCGAGGCGACCGAAACCCTGCTATAGGTAGCCTTCCTAGATTAAACCTCAGTGTGGACGGTGGATAGTGTCCATTGAAATGAGCCATAAGCTTAAAGCCCCATATACGATATCCTAGATCGAGGTGACTAAAACATGGGTTTAGGGGAGGCGTGTGGATGACGAAGAAGGCCCACGAAAAAGACCTCACTCACCACATTCGATAACCCTAAGTATCTATACATGCATAGTATCCCTAAGGTAGGGGGAGGATTACTTCCCCGAAGTAAGCTTTGATCAACCTCTAAATTAGTGTTTCCTCATATCCACCACTCAAATCCTCAAAAAACCAATTACCTAATTAACAATAGAGTGGGTAGTAGGCTACAGTGCCAGGACCCGAGTAGAATACGTCCTTGATTACCACTATACGACAATGACGTCCTAAGTTAAACTTGGCTTAGGATGGGATAGTTGTTGATATGTGCAAACCAATGACAATAACATGCACGGATTCAAGTGATCAACGACTAAGGAAACTGGGGGTAAAAAATGTACAATTAAGCCCGAATCAGCTAGGGGTCATGCACTACCTGCACATACTAAAACACAACTCGTGAAGGCAAAAAGGTGGAAGAAAGAGAATGTGGAAAATTAAATGCTAAAGTAACATATTTTCACGTTTTGTAACACCCCGATATTTTGGGTTTAGATTCGACCTTATTTTGGAATCGGTTGAATTGACGATTACGTACTAAGAGTTAAAATCGCGGATTAAAAATAATAATATTTTAATATTATTATAATGATATTATTATTATTAAAAAAAAGATACAGTCAGCCTGGGGCCGAGTGGCCCCTCTCAAATATTTTTTTCCCCAGCCGCCAGTCCCAAAAACCCTCGGCCCCAATTGGTTTTCAGAGAAAACCCTCCCCCCCCCCCCAACCCCCCCAAATTAATTCCCCAAGCAGCCATTATTTTTTCTTCCCCAGCGCCGCAGTCAAGAAGAAAGGAGAAGAAAGGGAGCCGCACCTCCCTGTCCACGAACCCGATCCCGACCCTGACTCCATCCCTTTCGTTCTAGATAAGGATCACGAACCCCTTCGCGATTTCTAAACTCGATTTATCGATAGCCTAATCCGTAGCTCGTATTTTATTAGCGGTGACGTTTGAGGGTTCGATCAACGAGGAGATCAACGTCCCGGGTCATCCAACCTAGGCCTAGGCTCGTTCTAGAGGTAAGGGAACTCGATCCCTTTGGGTTAGATCGATCGATTTGGTGATTTTTCGTGAGGGTGCAATTCTGGATTTTAGCAACAGGCTTTACAGGCTTTTAGTGACAGATTTTGATTGGTCAATAAAGCTGCTGGGAATTTCCAGAAACGTATTTTTAGATGTTTAAAATTTTTTTGAGCCACTCTGAAGGTTGTTTTCTTGATCTAACAATTTTATAAATTGAGCGACGTCTAGGAGATGATTTTAATTTAATTTGGTGATTTTTGAAGATGTATTTCTATTTTTAGAAATTATTTGAATATTTGTTTTAATTAAATAAAAATATTTTCGAGGAGTTTATAGGGGTTTGATAATTTTCCAGGGTATAACGGCTCTTGCTTGGTATGGGAAAATTATTATTCGAATTTTCAAAGAAGGTTCTAGTTAGGTGGAAAATTCCTCTAAGACTTAATTAATTAAGAAAAATGGGCGTTTTTGAAGGGATTAATTCTAGAAAATTTTAATAGGGGTTATAGGACCCTTGGAATGAGGT